ATATATATATATATATTAAAACATCACCCACCATCCAGGATATTTCTCTACAAAACTTTTTGAAAATAGTTTCATCTATACTGTATAGTCAATTTTACATCCTTCCTTTTTCACTTAATTTATCAGTGGCTTCGTTCTCTTACATGGTTTATGTATATTATTAGTGGCTGCAATATATTACATCAAATGGCCTTTTATTTAACCACTGCACTAATTAAACATATAGGTTATATCTGTTTTTTTACTAAAACAAATAACATTTCAGAGAATATTTTAGCACTTAATACTTTTTTCCATATTTTAAATTATTTCCTTGGAATACTTGGCAAGAATTGGGATTACAAAATTAAGAAACTCATAATAGCACTTGATATATATTGCCAAATTATTTCTAAATTGACCTTGTCAATATCATTGGCATTGGATGAGGGTGTTGGTTTCTTCATACCTTTTATAAATTTTGGTTTTTATCTCAGTTTGTGTTCACTGAGAAGGTACATAGAACACATGCTCCATTAATTTAGCCTTGATCCACCTAAGCAAGGGTACAAAAAAACCTGGAAAACTGTGAGCAGAGCAGTGGTATATAGTGCTGAGCCTAGAGCATCAGTGGAAAAACAGGAAGAATGTCACTACTCATCCACTCCATTTTGTGCAAAATGGCCAAATGTGCCAGTGTTGGAGCCTGCTTGTTGTCTAGAGAATGGTTGCTTCAAAATTAAATACTACCCAGGCTGATGTAAAGAAAGTCTCTGGGGTTAACCATGTTCTTTGGTAAAGAGTTTTTACTGGGCCACAGTTCATCACTAAAAATAGAAAATGCCACACCTAGATTAAAAAAAAAAAAAAAAGCCTATCTAGAGTAAAAATCTACTTTAATAACCTAGTAAAAATGTTCTGCCTGGGTAGTTAATAGAAGCCATCCACATAGCCAGAAGTTGAAGAACACCTCCAGTGGTTTTGGTGTAACAATACCTTGGCAAACCTGACCCTCAGCATCAACCACAGGGGCTCCAAGCCCCATCAGTGGACCAGAGAAGCCAACTTCCTCCCTTGTCCCTCTCACCATCCTTCCTCCCCAAACCATCAAACCAACTTGATCCTCCTAACAGCTGACTCCTCCAGTTTACCTACAGTTGGAAAGAATGAGTTTGGAACAGATGGAAATACTGAACTGTATTCCTTTTAACAGGTCCAACCTGCTCTCTATAAAAAAAGTTAGACTAAACTGCACTGTATTCTAGGAAAATTTTTAAGCTCACAGACCTTTTATTTTTGTATGTTCTCCCCATGGTAAGGGATGACTGCTTCTGTAAATTTGTACTCATTAAATGTTATTTTAAAAATATGTTCCAGTTTTGTTTAATTCCAGTTTTGACTCACCAGCATTCCAAAAAAAAAAAAGATTAAAAGCTTTTAAATCACAGCAGTTCCAGTATCTGGAAGTAAAAATACCTCCCTTCAGGCATAAGGAAAAGGAGAGGCAGTACATGAGCTTAAAAGCATATAAACAGATTTGCAGCTTCGTGCAGTATATGCTTGAGCTCAGCAGCGGGTGCACTCCAATATCCTCTGTGTCTCACTTTTACCCTCAGAGAGGGGAGAGCATCAGCTGGCCAAAACAGAGGTAGGGGTACATTATCCCACAATGGACTTTGGTAAGAAGTAGAAAAAAAAAAATGCTTTCCTTCGTCCAGGTAGATGCTGCCAGGACGGGGCTAATGACTTCACTAACAGACTGACTTCAGGTTGGATTTCAGCCTGCAGACCATACATTAAATGTCCTGCACAACTGGACAGCCACAGCCCTGATGGGCATGATCATTCTTTCAAAAGCAAGATAAAAACTGATAAATAAATAGAGGCTAGCAAGCTAGAGAAAGCTAGAAGCAAATAGCAAAGCCCTTACTCAAAAGCTACTTCAATTAGAAATTGCACTAAAAGCTCTTCATGCATTAATTGTTCAGGGACCACAAAAGAGCCATGATAATGATGAAAGTGTATAATGAATTTTACCTTTAGGATCCCAGAAGATTCTTGACCTCCTCCCAAAGTTAAGGTGGAATGGCCGTCAAGGTGCTGGTTTTATTCTCCATCCCCCGAACCAGTATCCACACCACCTGTCCACTGCACACTCACGCTCCAAACATACCCTTGCAGGATCCTACTCCAATTCTCTATAATAAGTTAAAATTACAATGTAGAAAAATCCTCTACTCTTCTAAAGATTTGTTCAGGAGAATTTAGGAAAAGAGTGTGTTAGTTACTCTCCTAGGCACTGCCTTTCCTCAAACTCAAGCCAAAGCCCTGAGCATTCCGGGCCAAAATGGCAAGCCGGGAGGCTCCTGAACTCACCTCCTCTCATGGACACACCACACTGATAGCTGCACACAGTGCAATTCCCTCTGAAACCCCCCGAACTCCCAGATGAGAGGAAGTGAGAAGACTACAACGAGGAAAAGCTGGATCAAGGGTGAAAGGGAAAGGAATGGACATTAGAGACAACAGCAATGAGGATGAGCAGGACCGTGCACCCCTGCCCTAGCCCAACAAGACAGAAGCATCCAGTTCTACATGTTTCCTGCTTCAAGGGGATCCCGCAAATCTTTGAATAATGTTTGTTGCATGATACTATGGGCAAAGCCTGTGCTAAACTTCACATACTGTATCTTATTTAATCCTCCTGCCAATTCTCTGAAGTACGGATATTATCCCCATTTTTCAGAAGAAAAAACTGAGTCTTCAAAATGGATGAAAGACCTAAATATGAGACAGGAATCCATCAAAATCCTTGAGGAGAACACAGGCAGCAACCTCTTCGACCTCAGCTGCAGCAACTTCTTCCTAGACACATCGCCAAAGGCAAGGGAAGCAAGGGCAAAAATGAACTATTGGGACTTCATCAAGATAAAAAGCTTTTGCACAGCAAAGGAAACAGTCAACAA